TGGTGAGACTTTTAAAAAAAAAAAAAAAAAAAATCGCACCAACCCTAAACTTTTTTTGCAGTATTGTACAGCATGTGCTTCTTCGATGCTGTTTGTTTTGGCTTTGGTGACTCTTAAGCATTCATTCCTATTGTAAATTCTTATTGTAAAGGGATGCACCCATGACCGGTACTATTTTGTCTAAATAAGTTGAAATTAAAAACTAAAATCAGTCATTTTAAATGCCACATGTGAATTTAGGCATCACAACAGTATAATGTTTGCAAAAGATTATGTTTAAGTGTTATTAAACTGTGTGTTTTTAAAGAATAGTTTTATTTGAACATTAGATAATGGCAAAAGTGGTCTAAATGTAAAAATAGGAGAAATAAGCTTGTATAATATTGAAAATACAATACAGATACCAATAAATTAAGCATTCTCTAATTTAGACTGTTAACTGATATGACACAAAAATTGTGCATCCCCAATAAATCACATTTTATGTTTATTATAAAGGGAAGAACATTAATGTAAAGTGTTTTTCTTCTGTCCAATAGCCCACCTCTAAGAGCCGGGGCTGGCTGATCTCTCCTCTGGGCGATAACCCCACATGGACGTTGTTTGCAGCAGCCATTCCTGCCCTCCTGTGCACCATCCTCATCTTCATGGATCAGCAGATCACTGCTGTCATCATCAACCGTAAAGAACACAAGCTCAAGGTCAGTTCAGCACCTGATCCTGTCTGTCAGAGCACTGCAGTGGTCCTGGTGCTCATGAATCTGTTCTTGAATCTGTGCAGAAAGGCTGCGGGTATCATCTTGACCTTCTGGTGGTGGCCGTGATGCTCGGTGTGTGTTCTGTGATGGGCTTGCCCTGGTTTGTCGCTGCCACCGTCCTCTCCATCTCTCATGTCAACAGTTTGAAGGTGGAGTCGGAGTGCTCGGCCCCGGGAGAGCAGCCCAAATTTTTGGGTATTCGTGAGCAGAGGGTTACTGGGCTCATGATCTTTGTGCTTATGGGTCTGTCTGTCTTCATGACATCTATTCTAAAGGTATGCCTCTGTTTATAGTGCAAAAAAAATTGCAATAAATTAAAATTTTATTTTGCTAATATTTCAAGATGAACACTAACTGAACTGAAGCAACTTTGGTTTACTTGATTATCCATACATGTTTTTTTTTTCTCTCAGAAAAATCATGTTAAAAAGTATAACATTTAAAGTCGTCTGAAATGCCGTTATAGAGATCACACTGATTTACTTTTCAAGCTATCAGAATTTCTTCTTTTTGCCCATGTAAATATTTATAAATGTACAGTGGGTACGGAAAGTATTCAGACCCCCTTAAATTTTTCACTCTGTTATATTGCAGCCATTTGCTAAAATCATTTAAGTTAATTTTTTTTCGTCATTAATGTACACACAGCACCCCATATTGACAGAAAAACACAGAATTGTTGACATTTTTGCAGATTTATTAAAAAAGAAAAACTGAAATATCACATGGTCCTAAGTATTCAGACCCTTTGCTCAGTATTTAGTAGAAGCACCCTTTTGATCTAATACAGCCATGAGTCTTTTTGGGAAAGATGCAACAAGTTTTTCACACATGGATTTGGGGATCCTCTGCCATTCCTCCTTGCACATCCTCTCCAGTTCTGTCAGGTTGGAAGGTATACGTTGGTGGACAGCCATTTTTAGGTCCCTCCAGAGATGCTCAATTGGGTTTAAGTCAGGGCTCTGGCTGGGCCACTCAAGAACAGTCACAGAGTTGTTGTGAAGCCACTCCTTCGTTATTTTAGCTGTGTGCTTAGGGTCATTGTCTTGTTGGAAGGTAAACCTTCGGCCCAGTCTGAGGTCCGTGTACATTAATGAGGAAAAAAATTAACTTAAATGATTTTAGCAAATGGCTGCAATATAACAAAGAGTGAAAAATTTAAGGGGGTCTGAATACTTTCCGTACCCACTGTATATAAATTGCATATTTTAGCTCAGTTAAGGCTTGTTCACACCGGGACGAATATCACGCGCGATCAAAAAACGTCGGCGATAAGCGCGCGCGATAATCGTCCCGGTGTGTACGAGGCTTTAGGGCCTCTGAAAACTGAGATGTTTTTTCCTCCTGGAGTATGAGCTCCATATTCTACCAAATCATGCTATGTGAGCTGTAGAAGCCTGACGCATCAAAAATTATAACTAATACAAATAAAACAAATTTGCTATTTTTATTTTTATTTTATATATTTTGTCTAAAGGTTCAGTAAACTCTTCCATTGCTAAATTAATTATAAAGACTGTTATTTACATATGTCTGGAAATTAGTTTTTTTCTAATTTCTCTATAGTTTATCCCAATGCCCGTGTTGTATGGAGTGTTCCTCTACATGGGTGTTTCCTCACTCAAAGGCATACAGGTTAGCACACTTTCATATTCACAGTACTTTATTTAATTACAGGATTGATGCACGTCTTATTTATACATGCAGCTAAAACGAAGGCTATGATGGATGTGTGGTCATATTGTTTGTGTATTGGTTGCACTGCAGTTCTTTGACCGTATTAAGCTGTTTGGGATGCCTGCAAAGCACCAGCCTGACTTGATCTACCTGAGATATGTGCCGCTGTGGAAGGTTCACATATTCACAATAGTTCAGCTCACCTGCCTAGTGCTGCTGTGGGTCATCAAAGCGTCTGCTGCCGCAGTGGTCTTCCCTATGATGGTACGTTTAAAATTCACTATAAAATCTCATAGTTCCCCTTTACACCTGGTATTAACAAGCGTTTTGTGTATTTTATATTTTTTAGCCGAATCGCATTTACACCTTAATTCTAATGTGTCTCCAGTGTGATTAGATCACGCTTACCTGCACAAAATATAAATCCCCATTTCAGATGTTGTGTTAACTGAAACACTGACCGATATTCAAAACACTTCAAAATAATAGTTAGCCATTTCTTGCTTTTTTTTTCTTTACAAACAATTCAAAGAATGTTAATAGGGATTGGAAGTTGAGGAAAAGGTTTCATGGATTTCAAGTGTAATGTAAAATCCTACAATATATAATGAAATATTGTTGATTAAATATCTTTTTCACATTGCAAGAAAAAAATACCAATAACAGCTCCATCAAAGTGATGTACAGTATATGATTATTTGTAGCATAACCTCATTATTGCATATTATTTGTGCAGCTTTTTTAATAATAAAAAAAATTAAGCAAATTTATTATGCACTTGCTACATAAGTTAATTTATCACAGCGAGAGAATTTAGCACAGAAATTTGATTCCGTCTCTGCATGCTCGTAGATTACATTTAGAATATATATATATATATATATATATATATATTTGTATTAATTCTTCATTCAGATTGTACTGCTCATCATCCATTAGTAAATTTTTTACTCCGGTCTTATATTTGCCTTCTGTAGGTTCTTGCTCTGGTATTTGTGAGGAAGCTTCTGGATTTCTGCTTTTTGAAGAGGGAGCTTAGCTGGTTGGATGACTTAATGCCAGAAAGCAAGAAGAAAAAGGAAGACGACAAAAAGAAAAAGGCAAAAGAGGTACTTGTTCATGATGTGGATCTTGCACACTGAAATTTTAAAGATAGCTGTCCTGTACCTCTTCATAGGCATTTAACATGTATCTTCTCTTGATAAAAAAAGAGACCTCTTGATGTGTGTAACCAGGAAGCACAGCGCATGATGGAGGCTGAAAGTGGAATGGAGGTCCCCTATGATAATGGTGACCACCTGGAAATCCCTGTGAAGAGCCTTAAAATCAGGTTGGTGAAAGTTCATCGCTCATATACGGTTAGATTTTCTCAGGATGTCTTACATACTGCAGCTAAGGCATTTCTTTGCTGTGGGTTTCTTTTAAACACCCTGCGTTGGCCTCATTCAAAGGCTCATTCAGTAAGTTTTGGCCTGTTTCTTTTGAAACAGATCTGAAAGCGTAGTCTCCGACACCTCATACGAGGAAGACACGAGCAGAGTGGTTGGTCTTTTGTCTACTTGCAGGCCTGCTTGAGTTCTGGTTACCACATACTTTCTCTTTACAGCTATTAATCATCACTTACGTTTAATTAACGCAGAGTATTTTACACATCACGGTGTGAGTGCGTTGTTAAGAGTCTAAATCTTCCTCTAACAGCTCTGCATTGGTTAACAGCGGTGGGAAGCTACTGATGCACCTCATTCCACTCATCGTTTCCCAATGCAGAACAGCTTCAGATGATGATTGCTGCTCATGATTTACATTGTATGTTTGGTAATCGACATTTCATGTGTAAACCAAAGCTCAGTAATATCTAAACAAATTAACCAGGGCCATCACATTGACAGACAGCTGTTTCATTGACCAGTACACTTGTTAGGCTTCCAGAGCATTTTACATTTTACATTTCATGTCAGAGTGCTAACTCTCATTACATTAACATCAGATGCATTAATATTACAGCAGTGGCTCATTTAGTATTTAAATGACAGTTGAAGACAAGTTATTTACATTTTTTAAATCGAGTAATCCACATTATTAATTTGTATTGGTCAGTTGTGCAATTATGTGGTTCGGTATTTTATATAATTACACAACATGATTAATCCTTATTAACTGTATCTATCTCAAATATGTGCTCAAACCAGTTGTTGTTTTCACCATGATGATTATACAAAATGTATACATACATTACTGTTAAAAAGTTTTGGGTCAGAAAGAAGAATGTTCAGGATTTCCGCGGTCCTTAAAAAGTCTTAAATTTAGTTGGATCAAATTTAAGGCCATAAAAGGTCTTAAATGGTACAAGAAAGTCTTAATTATGATTTCAAGAGGTCTTAAATTTGGGGACGGAAAGATTAGAATTGCGATATGGCTTAATGTGATGATTAAACTTCAAAAGGCTATGATTTCTTTAAATAAATATGAGCGCTGCACGTTTCAAAGTCCGGTGGTGCGCTGCTTTGTGTTCTGCCGTTACCGGGGAAACGGCTACATTTCTGCCACTGAAAAGCGCCACATGCTGGCAGAGAATTAATTGGCATTTTCAAAAAGTCAGTCTGCTGTTTTTGTGCAGACCAATAAGAAAATCTACCCATATTTTTACACTGCAAACATGCAGAGTTGTAAATATGAACTGGTGGATCAACAAGAAAATAATGCTTTATAAAAATCTAAGTAATTAAGGCAGTAAAATATTTTGTTATTTAATGTTTAATTATACTGTATAATGCTATTTAATTAATATAATTGATTGAGAATAATTGTTTAAATTCAAATAATAAATGATACTTTTGACTTAAAAATGGTTTAAAGGCTGAAATGTGAATTTTGTCATTTTATAAAACTTTTTTTGTGTGTGAAAACCTGTATTTGACTTGTAAATCATGCTTTTTACAGTCATTTTACAGTTTAATATGTTACCATTGCCCTACCCTGCTCATATGGTATTAATTTTATTTGTGCAGGTCTTGAAAAAGGTCTAAAAACGTCTTAAATTTGAGCCAGAAAATCTTGAACATACCCTGATTTTACATTAAGAAGAAATTTCAATTTATTTAGCAAGGATGAAATAAATTTATCAAAAGTGACAGAAATCATTTGTAAGATTTTTAATGGATTTACTTTTTCAAATAAATACTATTAATTTGAACTTTCTATTCATTAAAAAATCCTAAAAAAAAGATCACAGTTTCCACACAAAAAATTAAGCAGCACAACTGTTTTCAATATACGATTCAGCTTTGCCATCATAGAAATAAATTACATTTTAAAATATACTAAATAGAAAAGTTATTTTAAATTTTAATAATATTTCACAATAGTACTACTGTTTACATTATTATTGTATTTTTGATCAAATAAATACAGCCTTAATGAGCAAGAGACTTGTCTCAAAACGTTCAACAAAATCTTACCAACCTCAAATTTTTAAATGGTTTGGTGTTTTTAAACCACTCCTTTAGTTATAGGCAGTGTTGGGAGTAACGCATTACAAAAGTAATAATA